ACCGCCCGCTCTCCTGTCCTCACCGCCCGCTCTCCTGTCCTCACCGCCCGCTCTCCTGTCCTCACCGCTCTCCCGTTCCCTCCGCTCGCCCCCACCGCTCGCCCCCACCGCTCGCCCCGCCTTGCCCGTCAACCCGTCATGCCTGTTTGCCCTCCCGGCAGCCCGTCCGTCCGTCCGTCCGTTGGTTCATCTGCCCACTCCTCGCTGCAACAGGGTTGCGCCAAGCGGCGCCCGAGGGGTAAAAAGCGCCGTCGCCCTTGTAGCGGTTTAGCTCCTTTGTGAGGCCAAGACGCGCTGACTCGACGCGCCAAGACGACAGGGCATGGCACCGGCTCGCTTTTAAGGGGAATGTTCTCAACACCATGAGTCGTGCTTGAATTCAGAATGACATTCTCGATCGAACACGCTCATCTTTAGATCTTAGACATCTGTTCACGACATGGTTCTTTTTAACAATTCAAAATTTTAAAAAAATGTTCTTTGTGTCTACTTAAAAAATGATTTCTTGGCTATTTTTCTAAGACCCGAATTCCTTTTGCTGTGTATTCAAAACGCAAAACTATGAGTTTTCTTTCTTTAAATGGGTAAAAACGTAATGCTCAACGCATTCACTGTTTCAAGTAAATATTTTATAATTGCAATAAATACTATTTATTAATGGAAAAACGTTTTTAATTAAAGGCAGGAAACGCCTATAGTCTTTGAAGCACCGTTCAACCGAACAATTGCTTTGAAAATGTGAGTTCTTTAGACGACACGTTTAGATTGCAATTGCTTTGAAAATGTGAGTTCTTCAGACGACACGTTCTTCAGACACACACGCTTAGCTGCATTCACTGGGAAGTAAGTATAAAATCGGTTAGGATTTCATATTTTTAATAAATTAAGAATAAAGTTTAGACTTAAATAATAAGTGTTGGAGGGTAAAAAATATCAATAAATAATTTCTGCATTACAGTGAACGCAGTCATTAAATTAAGATATTAAATCAAAGAAACTCTTTTTGTTTTCTGTTTTCTGTCTTTCTGTACACTCGTTTTAGTTCTCTACTATGTTAGATGTATTAGACTTCTTTAGTACGAATGATTTTGAATTTAAGCAAAATTTTATTTGGAAAAGATATAGTGTATATAATTCACAGAGATATCACTCAATACAAAATTGAAAAATGAATGAATGAATGAATGAAAAAATGTAAATCGTTTATATCGTATGTATTTTTTATTGAATATAATTGGTTAAAACACCCTTGAAAAATCTGTAGATATGGAATTTTTAAATATTTTATTCTCTGAAACCTTAATCGAATCACATACAAGTAGTTTCATTCGCCAGGAACAAAAAAAATTTTTTGTAAAGAATTCGTCACATAGTGTGAATAAAAGTAATAATAAATCGATATAATTGAGATAATTCACTATGGAATAGTTACCCTAATCTCCTATGTCGTCTCGGAACACAAAATTGTTTCCTTGGGTCAATGAAAAATGATTTTTCTCTCCTAGTTCCATAAAGTTCTTTAGTCTAAGTAATTGAGCTGTTTAATTTACCAAATTTGGTTACTATCATACTTCATACACCGAAACCGCTTTTTGTTTTATGAGAAAGAATGAAATTCTCACTGCAATGTAAATCAGTATTTCGTGCGGTGGTATCTAGGATGGCACACCAAACATCGCGTACATTAAGTACGTTTGCAATTCCTTGTTTGTTACCATTTTGTTAACTAATCAAATTTATATTCGTAAATTTCAAACTGTAAATACTAAGGTATAATACGATCCTAAATAGAGACAGGAAATACCACAATTATTATATTTCTGGTTTTTGAACTTTACTGTCATTCTTTCGAACGTACGAGTAATGTTCAGAATCCGGACGTTTAACTTCGGCCTCCAGCGTAATGAATTCGAAGATGGGAAAAGCGAGCAGCCTGCACCGCGAGGAGACGTTGAGGAGACGAATGTCCTAAATGCATGGAGGGACAAACACGGCGAGCGCCCCCGTTCGCGAGGCTATTTGGAAGGACCTAGAGGGAGCACCATGGAAGAGAACGCTGCTTAATGGAGCCCTTATCGTCGTGAGGCTCGCGAACGTCTATTTCCGCGAGTGCGCGACGCTGTCTGTGCGCACAAGAGGAGCCTCGTTTTGCATCATCTGTCTCTTAACTTCCATTCTCTTTTATCCGCTGGCCCATCGGGAAGTGAGTCATGCGACTCTTGAGAACCACTCCCAATAAAGAGTATCTCTTTACATCGAGATATACTAGCTATTGAAACGATAGTGGCGAGAATGACGAATCTTATCAGGGATAGGAGAAAGTGAGGTAGACATGTTGCGTGCGTTAAGGCGATACAACTTTAACATTTGTAGTAAAGTAATTATGATATAAATGATATAAATATAAGGGAGTAGTTGGTTTTCAAAAGCAATTCCTTAGAAATTGGGCGTGCAACTGAAAGGTTCGAAAATCTATTGTTTTGCATTTTCAACAATTAGGGGTCTAAAAATAGAAAATTTGAACGAGGAACTTAAATCGACCATTATTTCTCTGACAGGTTAACATTTAACTGGGTAAATATTAATTTATTTCTCAATATTTTCAAAATGCTCCTAAAAATCATCTCGGATCGCTGTTATCTTCTACATTCATGAGATTAAAAGAACCTCACGTTTTATTGAAATATATATTCTTCTTAATATAAAACCACATTTTTGTTTATAAAAATTTTGACCAATGTAAAATGGTTAAATAATCTCTAGAACATAAATTGTTCTAAATCTTTAATTTTATTTCTTGCCATTAATATTCTGCTCGTTTCTTGGCTTCAGAAATTCCTTCTCTCTGTCCATGTATGGATACTTTGCCTGATGTTTCTATCATTTGTTTGCTTTTCCTTTCTAATGTCTAACAGGGCAAATACTATACTCGTATTTGCAATGGCTCATCAATGAACTTCTTAATCATCGTGTGTAAATACCACAAGTGCAAGAAGACTCATAGTTGATGTTTGACTATTCAAATATTGCTCAAGAGAAGAAGAATTTGTCTTAAAAGAAATGTTTTCCTTGGTCATACATAAAGATCTATTAATAAAGACGTATTAATAAAGATATTAATAAAGAGATATATGCATCTCTCAAATCAAATACTTTCGGATTGCATGAAAACAAGTAGGTCAGTATTATCATTGGCTTTGAAAGCATATAATGCTGGACACGTGACGGTTATTAAAGCTTCATCTTCACTCCTGATCAGCAAAGTTAGTACAATAGATACAAAACTTGGCGTGGGCCTTCATCTAAGAGTTGTCTTTGATGTTGAGTCAACGTGGATAATACACTCCAATAGACTCTATATAAGGTTTCCTTTTTTAGGATTTTTCCTCAAAAACCGTGTTTTGAAATCCAAATGTGACAAATCCTGTTAATATTTGACACCATGCGCGAGTGACTCTCTTATCCGATTTGAAGGAGAACAAAATGTAAATAAACTGTTTCTGATCTAATGATCTGTGTCGTTCTATCGCCTAAAGTTTTATTGATAGTTGAATTATCAATTATCGCACATTCAGGTGACAGTATAAGAGATTCTACAAGTGAGTACAGGAATTGATGTCTCAATTTTCAATTCCTTGGCAGTACCAAGCATCTGAGCAATTACTCCTCTCCACTTGTTTTTGATGATTTTTTTCATTTTAGGCTGTAATTAAATGTTTTAAATGACTTAATTGTGTGGAAATCGCATATTAACTATATTCGGGGAACGACCCAAACTTAGCTCACTTCATTGCATGAGGCAAAATGATCAATCAATGTTCACAATTGTGGAATTGTCTTACATTGCCCGTAAATTACCTTTACGTTAATAAACTCAACTAAAGCCATGTCTTCTAAAATACGGGTCCATCGATTAATCGACATAATGATACCGCACACGAGGTGCAAAGTGTTTGAATCTATCACCCAGTAAACAGTAATGGGCGCATTCTCTCCAAACCAAATAACCAAATCACAAAGCGTGGTACCGTTTAGTCGACTTGCTACACTTAGATTTTCTCTTGCACCCAAATCTGTTACGCCATCAATTGAATTTAGAGAAGGGTGAAATGTTACATCCAAACTAATGTTTGATATTTCTTCATATTTTGTTTCGAAAACGGCCAAACGTTCCAACAGTGTACATAGGTTCCTATAAGTATAGAATTGACCACACATTATCCTGACGTCCTTGAGAAAGGACGGTTCAAAACAATACTAAATATCAATTGACAAAAACCTTCAATTATAATGTTATCCTGTAAACCATCCATTCCTTTAAGGTGTTATATTAATAGTTTTGGAGTTATTAACATGATATGAAAAAACATACACATCCGTCAGTTACAGCATCAGTCAATTAGTCCACTGTAAAATTGCAATATTTTCAAAACACAATATTTGTAAATGATAACGTCAAAATAACTGTTGTAGTAGTGCGTTTCTGACCTAATGTACGTTATATAAATATGTGTCACTTCCCGCTTACAACAATGCAAAAAATGCATTACTTCAACAATGAGTGACGCTTCCTTCCAGCCGCACGTGAGGGTTATGTGGGGGCCTCGGCTGGCTCTCGCTGACGCGCATGCGCCTGTTGCAGATGGCGGAGAGCTTCGACATGCCCTTCTTCGAGGTGTCGTGCAAGCAGGACGTGAACATCGAGGAGGCCTTCCTCACGCTGGCGCGCCGCATCCGAGAGCAGCGCCGCCGCAGGGTGAGGCCAGCGCCCGACGCCCAACCCTTAATGCCTCTGACAGGGGCAGGCGTCCAACCACGCACAGATCACGTTGTAGTTATTTTCACGAAGTGGATGTTTTATTAATACTCTTTCACGTCTTTTTATATCTAAAGTCGCATCAAATACTAGGTCATTAGCAACCACTATTGATTGTAACGTTATGGTAACTGTGAGGATGACACACTATGATGATGATGATAGGGGGTGAAAGGACGAGCACAATACTATACGAGCCCGAGGCGGGACTCGAACCCGCGACTCTTCGTTCCGAGATTGCTATGGCACTGCTGCCTTAGCCATCAGGACCGGCTCTTTCACGTTGTTCAGAATAAATGATATGAACTTATTAGACTGATCAAAGATAACTTTTTCCAAAGAATGTGTAGCTGTGGAAATGTGATATATCTAAAACACTTCACGCAAGTGGCACTTCACTCTCCTAATTGGTACACAGTTTAATCTCCACTGCGTTTACCTTGCTCATGAACTCTCAGGGGACATCCTGCCCTCTGGAAATGTCGTTAGTGAATTATTTTCCAATTTTTCAGATTTGACGCGTCTGAACGTGTATCCCATCCAGCACCCATGCATCAAAGATGTCACTTCCAGAGCTTTGGGTTCTTAAAGATTAACGTTAGAGACTAAACTATCAATATGGTCATTGCCAATGAAGACACTTCCTCAGGAGTTCGTTGAGAGTTCGTGTACCTGAAAAACACCAGTGCAAGTTGAAAGTTGCCAACATTTCAGGGGTGCCATGTCAGAGGTGTCTTAACTTTTTTATATGAGATTTGTCATATAAAGAGAAAATAAAGCTGCTGGTGGAAAACCCTTTTGCAGGTTCCTAGAGTAGTGTAACATAGCGGAATTGTTACGACAAATGACAGAAAATATGTATTGTAGTACCTCTGTTTTGTAAAACAATGAATAGCAATGATTTGCTAGTATTGATTTGGTCTTGTCTGTGAGTGTACTTCTCCCTTAGTAGCACGGTGTCACTATTTAAGATCACGCAATGTGATCAATATCATTTTAACATGTTTATTTTATTAAGAGTAATGTCAAAGTAGACAATAAATGTTTTCGTGGGGAGGTAGGTGTATCACATTTGGCTTTTTATTCTCACTCTGGCACTTCGAAGAACCCCTGTTCCCCTTTTTGTTTTTTCTTCATTCCTTTCCATTCCTTTCGTCCTGCTTTCATTATTTAATTTATCAAGTTTACTCGTCCTCTCCTCTTTATTTTCCATTTAAGAAACCCAAAGATATTTGTACACATCCAGTCGTCCCACCAATCTCTATTGCTATCTTATGTCCTCATTCGTTGCCAACTTAAGCCTTCATTGATCTTTATATTCACATAGTATCCTCTGCTCTGTTTTCTTCCCTCATTTCTCAACTTTGTTTCTTTACCTTGGAGCCAAGTATTTGCCGCAATTCTTCCCGATACTCTGTACTACTCTCCGCAGATTCTCTTTCCCTTTGTCTTTGTTCCATCTTTTATTCTCTATTCACGTAGTTCCTAAACTCATTACTCTATATGTTTCACTATGTATAAAATTCAGTGAACTAATAGAGAAGCCTACCTTTTCAATACTCCCCAACACTATAATATTCCTTAACTCATTTCTTACGTTTCCAATTGTTTTGAGTTTTTGTGTATTACTAATGGATTCTTTCCCTTCCTCTTGGAATACTACATCTTGCAAACTTCTCTCTTATCCTTCTCCTCTGATGCCATTTGCCCCTTGTTATCGTACACTCGGCGAACGAGCAGCCCGACGACTCCCTCGTTCTTCCAACTTTTCTCACTTGGAAATGCACCCTCTACCTTCACGCCACTGCTCAAGTCAGCCACCTCTAGGGCCGTCACCCGCGGCGCTCACCTTCGCCCCCCCCCC